TTCTGCTCCCTGCTCGTGTCGTCTCCTGTCCCACCAGACTCTCCTTTGGCACCACCACCTTGGTCACCCCTCCCTCCCTCGTCTCCGAGGCATGGCCTCCCGTGTCCTTGTCTCTAGTCTCCCTCGGTCCCTCCCTCCCCTCCCTCCGGGGCTTACCCCTACCTGCGTTCCCTACGTCGAGGGGCGGCAGCGCGCCGCCCCTCACTCCTCCGAGTTTCCTCCGATAGAGGCTCCACTGCAGACTCTTCACATGGATGTGTGGGGCCCCGCCCGCATCCGTGGCCAGGGTCACGAGCGTTACTTCCTGTTAGTGGTTGACGACTACTCGCGTTACACCACGGTGTTCCCCTTGCGCAGCAAGGGTGACGTCACTGAGGTGTTGATCGACTCGATCCGCGCAGCTCGTCTCCAGCTCATAGAGAGTTTCGGCACGGGCTTTCCTGTTCATCGTCTGCACTCTGACAGAGGCGGGGAGTTTTCCTCTGCTCGTCTGGGAGCCTTCTGCCGTGCACAGGGCATCCGCCAGACCTTCACGCTTCCGGCCTCTCCACAGCAAAATGGGATTGCTGAGTGCCACATTGGCATGGTCATGGACGTCGCTTGTACGTCCATGATCCATGCGGCTGCTCCCCATTTTCGGTGGCCGTTTGCAGTTTAGTACGCAGCGCATCAGCTCAACCTTCAGCCCCGGGTCTCCTTACCAGAGACCTCCCCCACCTTGCGGTGGATGGGGAAATTTGGCGATGCGTCTGCGTTTCGGGTCTGGGGATCTCGGGCGTTTGTCCGCGACTTGTTTGCGGACAAGCTGTCCCCCTGTGTTGTTCCGTGCTGAGCCTGGGGGTGCTGAGCCTGGAGGTGCGGAGCCTGGGGGTGCTGAGCCTGGGGGTTCGGAGCGTGGGGTGCGGAGCCTGGGGATGCTGGTTCTTCTTGTGTGGCCTCTGGCGGTGCTTCGTCGAGGCGGGAGCTACTCTCTCCGCAGGAGCTGCACGAGTGGTTTGCCCGGTGCTGGAGCCGTGCTCCTGGAGCTGGAGGTACTACTGTTGCTACTGGTCCTAGAGGTGCTCGTACTAGCGGTACTGGAGCCGCTGGAACTAGGGGTGCTGCTGGGGCTGCTGGAGTTAGTCCTGCTGGAGGTACTGCTGGAGCTGCTGGCGGTACTGGAGCTGACGGTCCTGCTGGAGTTGGTGCTGCTGGAGCTGCTGGAGCTGGAGCTGCTGGGGTTGTTGGTAGTGGTGGTTCTGCTGGCACTGGTGCTTCTAAGGGTGCTGGAGTTGGCGCTGTTGGTGCTGGAGGTGCTGCTGGCGCTAGTGCTGCCGCTGGGGATACTGGTGCTGTCCCTGCTGGTTGTGGAGGCGCTGCGCAGCCGCGGCCGTATTTCGTTCCACTCCTTGAGCAGGTTCTTAGTCTCCCGCCCTCTACTGGTCCGGCTCCTTCCTTAGAGTGTCCACAGCTTGTCCAGTCGCGGTTACAATTACATCCAGCCTCCCCCCTACCTGCTCCTTCTCCCTACACTGGTCCTACTGGAGGTCTTGCTGAGCGTCGTGAGCCTGCGTCTCGTCCTGCGTCGCCTGTTCGTGCTGCTCGCACTAGTCGCCGTGTTCCACGTCAGCATCCTACTGGGGTCCCAGGCACACAGCAGATGGCACGACACACTGAGGACTACACTTGCGGCTCTTGGCTTTGCTCCTTCTACTGCCGACCCGTCGCTGTTTCTGCGCACCGACACCTCTTTGCCGCCGTTCTACATCCTCGTGTATGTCGACGACTTGGTCTTTGCCACTGCTGATACTGCTGGACTCGCCCACGTGAAGTCCGAGCTGCAGAAGAGACACACGTGCACTGACCTGGGTGAACTGCGCAGCTACCTTGGCTTGCAGATCACCCGGGACAGAGCACAGCGCACCATTTCCTTGACTCGGTCACACATGGTGCAGCAGGTCCTTCAGCGCTTCGACTTCACGTACTCCTCGCCTCAGGCCACTCCTCTATCTACTCGCCATTCGCTCTCAGCTCTGCCTTCGGATGAGTCCGTAGAGCCGAGTGGCCCGTACCCAGAGCTTGTTGGCTGCCTCGTGTACCTGATGACCTGCACACGACCTGACCTTGCATACCCTCTTAGCATTCTCGCACGCTATGTTGCTCCTGGGAGACACCGACCAGAGCACATGGCTGTAGTGAACAGGGTGTTGCGCTACTTGTGCAGTACGTCGGGCATGGGGCTAGTGCTTGGAGGGCGACGTCCACTGGTCCTCACAGGTCACGCAGACGCTTCTTGGGCTGACGACCCGGCTACGCAGCGGTCGTCACAGGGTTACACCTTCAGCCTTTGTTCCGGCTCTGTTTCGTGGCGGTCTACCCGTTCGTCTTCTGTTCTCGGCTCCAGCTGTGGGCCTGAGATCTACGCGGGGGCCATGGCTACACAGGAGCTACGCTGGCTCACCTACCTGCTGACTGACCTAGGATTGCCGCCTCGTTCTCCTCTAGTTCTGTACGTAGACAACAAGGCCATGCTGGCCTTGTGTCGGGAGCACTGACTGGAGCACAGAACGAAGCACATTGCTCTTCGCTACTTCCTTGCTCGTGAGCTGCAGCAGCGTGGTCAGCTGCGCCTTGCTTACGTGGCCTCTGAGGCCAACACTGCTGATATCTTTACCAAGGCACTTCCGCCTTGTGATCATCAGCGATTCTGTACGATGCTAGGTCTTGTGCCTACTTGGCCACACTTTCTCACTTCTGGCTTGTGAACTGGCCTTGTGGCCTTGAACTTGTGCTCAGAATGTGTGGTGACGTTGTGATCCACCCTGAGCTTGCTTCGCTTTGCTTGACTGGTCTTGTGACCTCTTGTTCTCTCTCACTTTGGCTATGGGGGTGTGTCAAACTCACATGCTATAATCTGTGTAGGCTGTAGTGGGGTAGACAATATGGGGTACAACACTTTTAGGTTTTCCTACTTGTACCCACCTGCTTGCTAGTTCATTCATCCTCGTTCTCTCACATTCCCGAACGGTAAGTGATCGTCGCGCGTGTTTATTCCCGTTACTACCAGAGTCGTCAACCGTTTCTTTTTCCTTGCATGCAGATGTTGTGGTCGGGTGCCAAGCGAACGGGTGGATGGAGGCCGCTGGCGTCATCGAGTGGCTCAACACGGGCGTGGTGCCGTTCCTGAAGCCGAAATTCGGCCTGTAGAGTCGTAGCGCCATGTTGGTGCTCAACTCCTATCGTGATCACCTGACACCAGAAGTCGAGAGATTCGCGGCGCTCAACATCGTGCCTGCGATCATTCCGGCGGGTTGCACGGCAGACCTGCAGCCCCTCGATGTGTCGATCAATAAGAGCTTCAAAGCAAGCATTCGTCAGTAGTACCTGAATTGGTTTGAGGAGGACAGCATGAACATCCTGACCCCGGCAGGTGAGTGACGACATGTGCTCCCGTCTGCAAATCTTGAGCTTGTATGCATATTTAGTTGTCTCATGTTTTCCCCGCCCCACTCCGTGTGATGTAGGGAACATCAAGAAACCAGCTCCGAAGGTGGTGCTCAAGTGGATTTCACGAGCGTGGAAGGTGGTGCCCGCCGACCTCATCAAGAAAGCCTTCCTCACGTGCGGCATCAGCAACGCCCTTGATGGGAGCGAAGACAAACCGGTGCTGGCGCATCGGAGAGGCCATTTGTCCCATGAAGTGGAGGTGGACGATGACATCCAGGCAGATGGGTTCTGGGGCAACAACTCCACGGAGCCCGAGTCGGACGAGGACGAAGAATAGGCAGTAGGGTAGACTAGGCAGGTTGAAAGGTGTGTAGTGCAGGACAGCAGAGACCACCCATGTGACTGTCTAAATTAATGATACTTGATTTTTTAACAAAGTGCGCTTATAATTAGTCAAGATTTTCCAAGTGGTGCGCTTATAATTGAGGATCGGCCATAAGCGCATGGCTCCAGATACAAACGCATGCGCTTAACATAGGCCTGCGCTTATATCCGGGGTCATACGGTAGCCATTTCAGGGATTTTTGGGGGGGGTGGGCTTATCCCAGGCAGAAGGGGGTGGGGCCCACCCGGTGGGCTCATTCAACGAAAACCCAAAATTAGGATGCGGCTATAATCGGCAACCGTCTATAAGCGCACTAATCCGGTTATAAAAGCATGAGTGTAACATAGGCCTGGGGGTACCGTATATCCGGGTGATGACAGTACTAGTCCATCATTCTTACCTTCTACTTCTGACAGATCAATTGCAACATGACAAGGGTGTCTCCCACTTGATGGGATGGGACAATATTGAATGAAAATTGATTTATACATACTCAACACAAAACGTTACTACCAACAACCCACAAGCCATGTATCCTGAAAGCACATGCAATGGTTTTCAACCCTAAACTACGGTATGTGTTCAACATGAAAGGGAGAGTGGAAGAGATAAGGGGCGTCATTGGGAAGGGGAGAAGCCATCCAAGTCGAAGCACGAGCAGATAATACAACAGTCAGTCAGTGCGGCCATCCATGTCACCTTACTGAGTGCACATTACTGACAGCAAATCACCATTGTTCGTTAAGTCCCTGGTTCATGGTAAAAGGGGGGACAAAGAGGATAAGATGCTTGAAGCATGCGAAAAGTACTGCCTTTGAAGATGGGCAAAAGGGAAGTGGAAAGCTGTGCGGGTGTGCGGGTGGAAGGCGATGAATGACTCACAGTCCATATGATGGCTTCAGCGAAGCATCTTTCTGGACGCTTGTGGCTACGGTATCGCCTTGGCAGTTATCTGTTGAGTAGTAGCTCAGCTTGGGGCACCTGGGCGCATCAGGGATGTTCTCGAGAGAATACATAGTCGTGAAGGTCTGGGCCATTGCCTCCGGGAATGGAGTGCAGGCGTTCAGGTTCAGGCGGAAGGTATAGGGCCGAGAAGCATTGTCCTTGGCTGTGCGACTCTCAATGAGTGTCATGCTGTTGGAAGAGACAGTTGCAGTTTCACCTGGAAACGAAATGGAACAGAGAGGCGTTAGCAGTCCAGCCAACTTGGGAGAGCAAGAAAGGTGAAGCAAGGAGTGGGATGAGTGGGTGAAGAGAGCAGAGCGAGCATGCGCGGAAGAGTCTCACCCTGAACACAGTCGGTGGGGGTGATCCCGTAGCCTTCAGGGCACAGGCAGAAAGGCACATCCACCACCCGATTGTCGCTTGCTGCTCCAACTGTCCTGCAGGTGGCTCCAGACGGACAGGCGCCACAGGGTGAGTCTGCGGGGTGGGGATGGGTTCAGGGCGGTGTGTGAGTGCAATTAGAAGAAGCGGAATTGAGGCTCCAGAAGGACAGGCGCCACAGAGTGAGGCTGAAGACCGCCACGGGGAGAATGAAGGCATGAGGAATGGTGGGAATGTGAGGGTTGAGAAGTGGGTGCGGTATGTCTGTGCAATGTGTAGCAGATTGTGGATTCAAAGGGGCAGGCACGCAGAAGAGCGCGGCAAGCAAGGGAGAAGCAACGAAGCAACACAGAGGAGCGAAGGAAGGAAGAGGGGAATCAAAGCAGAAGGGAGAATCAAAGACAAGAGGAGAAAAGCAAAGAAATGAAGGGAGACGCAAAAGGCAGAAGGAGAGGCAAGGAAGAGTGGGAAGCAATGAGGAGAGGGGGGAAATGAGGAAGAGGGGGGAAATGAGGAAGAGGGGGGAAATGAGGAAGAGGGGGGAAATGAGGAAGAGGGGGGACATGAGGAAGAGGGGGGAAATGAGGAAGAGGGGGGAAATGAGGAAGAGGGGGGACATGAGGAAGAGGGGGGATATGAGGAAGAGGGGGGACATGAGGAAGAGGGGGGAAATGAGGAAGAGGGGGGAAATGAGGAAGAGGGGGGAAATGAGGAAGAGGGGGGATATGAGGAAGAGGGGGGATATGAGTTGACGCCATGGTGACTCACCCCACTGGCAGGAACGCTCTCCGTTTTGATCCACCACACATTTGCCGTCGGACTCACAGCCCAGCGCCGCACAGGCAGGATCTGCAGCAGAGGCGAAGAGAAATGGGCAACAGACGAAGATGTGGGGACGATTATGGGCGTTACAAGGGCATCGGAACGACGTAGGCATTGTGTGCATGATAGAGGCAAAACGACGTTGCAGTGGACTGAAGAGGCATTGCCCTTGAGAGGAAAGCACCGTGAATCACGCCCTTCCGAATCATGCCCACTGAACGTACCACTGGTGCTGTCTGTGGTGCTGCCACCGGTGGTGCTGCCACCGGTGGTGCTGCCGTCGGTGGTGCTGCCACCGGTGGTGCTGCTGTTAGCGGCGATCTCTTGCGCAATCCTCGCATTGACCTTCCTGCTGGCCGCTGTTTCCGCCACTGTGCCTTCGCCGTACGCGCCTTTCAGCATGCTTCGAAGCCTCGTGCGCCCAGTCATGCTCCTCGCCGTGTCGTCGCCATGCGCTACCTTCATCATCTGCATTCCTGCAGGCCACAAGGGAGGTGACATGCAGAGACAGAACCGAGACACGATTTGAGAGGTGGTGAGAGATTTGAGGGAGCAGCGAAGGAAACCCTAATCAAGATCATGATATGCAGATGAGAGAAGGCAATGCGAGAAGAGAATGAGGTGGAAGCGGACTGACCGGCGATGAGGGCAAGGGCGAGCAGCAGCAGTCCGGCGGGAGAGGCGCGCGGCATCGTCCTCATGATGATGATGATGACGGTAGGGCTCCGCGGGAGAGGCGGCGGTGGAGGCGGCGGGAGAGGCGAGAGAAGAGGCGCAAGAGTGGATCCAGTGCAAGGAGCTCCGCGCGGTAAACGAGAACTGGGTTGCAACTCTAGAGCTGGAGCCAACGAGTCCGTGGGTGGGAGCGCCGACACGCAGTGCAAAGGCTGAATGACGGACTGTGGCGGGCTAACGACTTATATTGCGACTTGCGAGCTTGAGCCAAGTATGACAGCCGCCGCGCCATCTCGTATGTTGGAGCGCGATCCGATGGGCCACATCTGAAGTGCTCGTCAAGGCTTGACTCGAGCGCCATATAATGCAGTGATTGGCTCGAGAGGCGTATAATGCAGTGCCGCTTGACTCGAGTGGCACATATAATGCGGCAGCGCGGCCTGGCTCGAGTGAATCAGAGGGACGGTATAAACTTCAATCATATGAGCACGGTAGCGATAGAATGGGCATGGCTCGAGTGACTTGCGGCGACGAAAGTTACCCTGAATCGTGGGAATGCATGTGAGCGACGGCAATGATTGGCAGGGCGTAACTTATTTGAGTCTGGTGCTTGGCGAAATAATCGCAGGGTCGAAAAAATAAGAGAGGAATGCATAGTGCACAGTCGTTCACGAATCACGAATCAGCGGCACAACGCGGTCCTCTTTCCCGTTCGTCGCTTCCGTCTTGGCGGCTTCCAATCAGGTTGAGCTTGAGCGACTTGCGAAAGCCACATAATGCAGTGCTTGACTCAAGTGAGTCCCTCTGACGGTCAAAGGGACGATAGATACTGGAATTATATGATGCACGATAGTATGGGCATAGCTCGATCGACTTGCGGCGACAAAATTACTCTTAATTTTGAAATGCACGCGTACGCGTGCTTCTCACGCTGAGTTTCCTGGCCGCGCCTGCCGCCGCTTCTGCTTCAGCTCAGCCGATCATCTCACGCCGCCGCGCGGCAGCCTTCAAGGATCCTTCGAGCGTCCCTGAGGCGACGGAAGAGCATCTCCACCCACCATGCTGTGCATATCGTTCCAACGCCCCATCGTGTGTATATCTTCTTCTCGTTGTAGCGCATCTCTCGCCATCGTGCGGGAGATTCTAACGCATCATAAGGTCCCTGTTTTGACGACGTCAAGCATTCAAGTCTCCGATTGCAACGGCATTGCTTCACTACATATTGTTTCCAAACATGCCCATGCAGCAGCATGGCGCGTCCCTGATGTCCGTGGGCACAGTCGCAACCACAACCGCGAATCCATCACGCCGGGAGTTGGGGGACAGCTTTGGTCAGCAAGTGAAAGAAGTTGTCAAGGACAGAGTGGAGTATTATCAGGAGGCTGGCGCGGGAATGGCTGACCTTGGCAAGACTCTTGTGGTCGGTACAAAGGACTTGATGAAGGAGGAGGGCATACCTCTTCTTCGCAATGTAGCAGTCAACCTCGTCATTCCTCTAGCTAAATCTGCGGCAGGAAGTATCTCGGATAAGGTTAAAAGCGTATTCAAGAAGCGCAAGTAAGGCTGCTTGATATCGATGTGGAAGAACAAACTAAGAGGGGCGTTGATGCTTCTTATTGAAAAGGTGAAGGTTGGGGTTGGGATGTGTGGGTTGTTGTGTGGGAGCCGTTTTACCGGTACCTTCTATGTATGTGCCAATTACGAATGCTTCTTTGTGATATATATCCTATAGTACCTTCAGTATGGACTGCTGGTGGATGAGGTGCATAGAATGTAAGAAAGCAATGGTGACTCTTCTTGCGTAGGCCGCAATTGTTGGAAGCAAGTAATTTAAGCGCCTCTGTCGTGTCGAAGCACTAAGTCGTAAACGAAGCGAAACGCAGCGAAGCATCGGCGAGTCAACCCTCGGAGGTTGAACAATTGCTGGAGGTTACACGAAAGTCAAAGGTCAGCGACCTTTGACCTGACAAGTACAGCGCAGCAGCAAGGACAAACAACTGACTCGTTATTGAGCATATCAAATTATATATATATGCTTGTTTAGGTTATCTAGGCTGTATGGGGGTTAGCACTAAGGGGTACACAAACTTTCTCGATACCGGTACCCTAGTCTTGTACCCTAGCCTTCACCTAATTCACTCATTCTTGCCTTAGGTTCTTAACATGGTAACTAGAGCAGGAGGTCTCTATGCCCTACGAATCGGGCCCACCTAACTGCCTGCCTTGCCTACTGCTCGCGCACGCCTCGGCGGCAGCGCGCGTCACATATTTTTTCTCGCGCGCGCCTCGGTTTCTAGCGTGCGCGTCTCTGATTTTTAGCGCGCGCCACTGCCGCAGAGCCGTGCGCCGGCCCGCGTTGTCAGAATATTGTAGCTTATACATTTTGTGTAGGCTATAGTGGGGCATCCCATAGGGGGTACGGTACAACCCAAGTAGGGTTAGTACTTGTACTCTCTTCTTTCATACTGCATTCATTTCTCGTTCATATCTTCTCATGGTATCGAGCAGGTTCCCTAGTGGGAACTGTGCCTAGGGCCCACCAATTCGACGATTTTTTTTTTTACTGCCCGGAGCGCGCTCTCCTCGAGTCGCGCTCCCTTCACTTACTTCTTCGAGTCGCCCTAGCGGCTCCCCGTCGCCCTTCGCGGCGGCCCCGTTGACCCGCGCACGGCTCCCCGTCGCTCTTCGCGAGCGGCCCCGTCGACCCGCGCGCCGCCCCCGAGGACCCGTGCGCCCGTCCCCGTCGACCCGCGCGTCGCCCTGCGGCCCCCCCTTCCCGCCCACCTGAGTTCACTTTCCGCACACCCGAGTTCGCTTCCCGCAGGCTTGTGCACGCTTCGCGCACACCTGAGCGCGCTTACCGCACACTTAGGGTGTGGGGGTGGTGGTTGTGGGGGTGTCCGTTGTTGGGCTGAGGTGCCCTAGGATCTTTGTAGAGTTAAAGTCTGAGTAGGATGATGTAATAGCGGAAGCGTTGAATAAAAGTCCTTGAACCACCTTGCGCTAGTATGTGAGGGCAAAGTAAGTTAATTAAAACAAGCAAATACAAAGGTTTATATAAGAGTACAAGGAATACGAATAGGTATAATTAAACTGTTTTACTGTTGCGATTCGATACAGTGCAACTCGGGCAACTACTCAATGTCGAGTCAGTTGTGTGTCCTTGCTGTCGCGCTGCATTCGTCAAGTCAAAGGTCGCTGACCTTTGACCTTCTCGTAACCTCCAGCGGTTACCCTAACCTCCGAGGGTTGACTCGTTGCGCTTCGATTTGAGCTGCTTCGCTTGTGTCCTAAGTTTCGACACGACAGAGGCGCTTAAGACTTGTTGTTCCCAACACTCCCCTTCGCTTCTGGAGTGTCGCTGATGGTGACGTGGCTTTGTCCAGTCAGCAGCATGCAGTACTCGAACTTCTGTTTTCCGAGCATCTTGGTCAAGTAGTCGGCTGCCATCTCGGACGTGGGACAGTAGGATAATTCGAGTTTCCCTTTCTCGATCTCGTCTTTCACGAAGAAGTATCGTAGATGTTGAACAAGGAAATGAAATGACTAAGAATGGAATGGGTACAAATATGGAAACCTAGAAGTGTGTACCCCCTATAGGCTAACCCACTGTAGCCTAAAGAACTACAACAATATATATAATGTTTGACACACCCCCATAGGCGAAGTGAGGGAGAACTAGGGGTCACAAGACCAGTCAAGTAAAGCAAAGCAAAGCAAAACAAGCTCAGGGTGGATCACAATGTCACCACACAATCCGAGCACAAGTTCAAGGCCACAAGGCCAGTTCACAAGCAGGAGTACATATATATATATATATAAGACTAAACAAGCAAGAGCAGTGATATATATATGTAACAGTACAAAGAGGGTCAAGAGGAGAGCAAGTGAGGCAAGACAGACACAAGACCCAGCTCGGTACAGCAGCGCTGATGATCACAAGGCGCAAGTGCCTTGGTGAAAACATCAGCAGTGTTGGCCTCAGAGGCCACGTACGCAAGTCGCAACTGACCACGCTGCTGTAGCTCACGAGCAAGGAAGTAGCGGAGAGCAATGTGCTTCGTTCTGTGCTCCAGTCTCTGCTCTCGACACAAGGCCAGCATGGCCTTGTTGTCGACGTACAGGACTTGAGGAGAACGAGGCGGCTCTCGAAGGTCGGTCAGCAGGTAGGTGAGCCAGCGAAGCTCCTGAGCAGCCATGGCCCCTGCGTAGATCTCAGCCTCACAACTGGAGCCGAGAAAAGAAGACGAGCGAGTAGCCCGCCACGAAACAGAGCCGGAACCGAGGCTGAAGGTGTAACCCTGTGACGACCGCTGCGTAGCCTGGTCGTCAGCCCAAGAAGCGTCCGCGTGACCAGTGAGGACCACTGGACTCCGACCTCCAAGCACTAGTCCCATGCCCGACGTACTGCACAAGTAGCGCAGCACCCTCTTCGCTGCAGCCATGTGC